AATTAATTTAAGTCACCATATGATGCTGCAACGCTGTAAGAACTGTGTCTGTCTAGCTGTTCTCTGATATTTATGGCACACAGAGTTTGATAATAATGACAAATGTTTTATCTTTTGATTTTAAGCTTATTAAAAGATACTCAGAGTTTCCGCTTTATACACCAGTGTATTTAGAAGTAATTTCCAAAAGGAGCGAAGCGGAGAGTAAAGTAGTCAAGTCTTACTGGCTACCTGTTGCCTTTTGTATCTTTGGACATCTTTCGTTTGGGTAACAGATTTGGTTTATTCTCATACAGCAAGGATATATTTTGACTACATTTTGCTGAGGGGCCTATTTTACCAGCCTGATGCCTGTATCATTTAATTCTGTACAACAGAAATCCTGCTTTTTCCGTCCTGAACAAAAGTGTGGATGTTTCTGAAGCTGTTTGCTATCCTCACCTCTGCAGGGGCAGGGTAAGGTTAGCAATACATTAATTTGTATAAAAAAAACCCCAAACATACATGTGATCTGTGAATTGATTGTATTGTGAAAAATCATGGGAACATATATGTATCAAAAGGTATTTTTAAAATGCCCCAGCTCCTTTAGAGAGGAGATAACTACAGAGCAAGCGGTTAGATCAGTTCAGTTGGGATAGGCCCGAGTTCAGCTGAGGCTGCGTCAGACATCGTGAGCGTTGCCCAGGACGCGTGTCTGGAGCAGCACAGGCACTGGGCCGTAGCTGCTTCCTGAGAGGGTGCTGCCCTGTCTCACTCTGACTCCTACCACAAAAGAAGTCAGCCACGGGGTTTCCTGAACAAACGGTTTTTTGCCTGCTAAAAGCACTCGTGTTATCTCCAGCATCCCTGTACTCGCATGGTGGAAGACTCAACGGTTTTCTCCTCCCTGGTAACACATGCACCTCCCTCATGTGCAATGCACCGGGAACCAAGAATGTGTCTGTTTAGGGCTCCGGTAAATACAGAGCCAGGCTATATATAATCTGTTACAACTTTGTGTTTATTCTAGTTTCTCAGTCTCAGTGGCACTTGTCCTTCTTTTTTTCTTCATAGCTGGTTTTTACCTTACTGTATCTTTCAAAATGTAAATATTAATCTAGCTCACACAAATACATTCCTTTAAATATTATCCTTCAGGCATATTCATATAGTTTCAGGTTTTCAAGAAGAGTAATTATCTAAAAAGTGAAATTAATGATAAATATATAAGATGTTTACTGTTCAGGGCATCTAGGAGTTGTATTTCATTTAGAGTGGCAGTGATTCATGGCTTCTCTTCAGTTCAACTCTCTACATGTGCCTTTGGGGTGGCTTGCATTGCCTACAATGGTGTGTCATTTGTTTCCCTTTGATTTTCATGACTGACAGCTTGCTTTTGGCATGTTTCCTTCTGCCAGGCTATAAAAAAAAGGAATGTGCAGATGTGGGAAAAAGAGAAGCCTGGAAATACCTGAAACTAATAGTAATAATAATAATAAAAGGACAGAAAGCAGGTTTACTTTTACTAGTGCATTAAGGAAAAAAATCTGTGGTTGCCATGCTGGCATTGAGCAGAAAATTGAGGTACATGTAAACCATCTTTCGGTTAAAGGATGATCAGTTACAGATATCATCTAGTAACCAACATCGTCATTTCAGCCAGTCGTAGGCAGGTACTGATGTCAGTTGTTTTCTCTCATAAATTCAGTAGAGATGCATAAAATAATTCACCATTTATAAAAAGAATAAAGTGGATGCTTCAATTGACTTACTATGACTCTACTATGAGATGAGAGTTGTTTATTTGTTGGGGTTCTGTTTGTTGTTGGTTGGGTTTTTTTTTTACCCATGAGGAAGAACTCACGTTTTCATGCTTACAGTAGTTCTAAAGGTCTGCAGAAATGGAAAATGTATTTTGGGGGGGATGGGGGGGAGGGTGGATGGGGACACACACGACAGGGGAGGGAAATTTTCCTTAGCTGGGATCTGGTACTTGTGCATTACGGAGTCTTGTGCATTTCTCTTTAAAGCATGCAGTAATAAATACTGGCTGGGAAAGCAAGGAGACTGGTCTGCCTGCTTAGGGAAGCTCCTCAGCTCCTGTATCTGTAGCTGTGCACTGATATGTGATTGCTGCAGCTTTACAATGAAAGAAAAAAGGAATAAAAGCTGAATTGCAGAAATATGAAGTTCTCACTGAAAACCCTGGTAAGAATGTCCAAGAATGTAAACTCCGTGACTGAATGTTCCCCTTCTTAATGAGGTTGCATTGCTATTACTGTCATCAATAAGAAAAAATTCAATTATTTTTCACCTGGGTTCAGATGCTTCTTCATGGGTGGATTTTCATGGTAATAGTGAGAAACTTCCAATGCTGCCAGTGATATTTCAGACTAAATTATTACAAGTCTTAGAAATGGGTAACTTAATGCTTCATTGCAAATCTGTGACTAAAAGTTCTTGGTAAGTTTTTGAATAAATGAGAACAGTTTTAAAACGGTAGAACACAGGAAGGTCGCAGTTGAAATTTAGCTTTCTTTGCCAGTGTGGGTGAAATACAGTTAATCTTTGCCATTTTATACTGTCCTTTAAGGTCACACATTATTGGATGATGTTAGGCAACGAAGTGACCATAAGCCAATTCTCTTTCTTTTGGGGACATTAGGGGGAAAAAAAAAATAAGCGGTTTTCCAGGGTAGTGGTGTTCTGAATTTACTTGGTAGCTAAGAAGTGCTCCATTTAGTTTCTTTTTTCCTCTTTCTGGTAGCAAACTGAAAATACTACTGGAAAGTCACTGTAAACGTTCACTTTAAAATATAAAAGCCCAGGACGTTACAGCTAGTTATTACTAAAGTTAATTCCTCGGGGGGGCTTCCACGTTAGGACGAAATAGCAAGGACTGTTTATACAGAAAGCAGCATGCTTTGCCAGTAAGTGCCAGTCTCCCACGCAGTTGCTGACAGCCAGTGCCGGGCACGGACGGCTCTCTGGGTGAGCCCGACTGAGCTCGATGGCATGCGACGGGCATGTGCCTAGGGCAGCATCGCGGCGCGAGGCCGCGCAGGCGGCTTGTGTCCCGGCACGTGTCACGTCTCAGTGCATCGCTCCCAACTGTAGGCATTGACCTGCATTTTCTTGGGAATGGCCTGCACGTGGCAAGGGCAGCCTTCCCGCCTGAGTCACTTCGAGTCACTACCTGGCGTGGCTTCAGGTAAAGCAGGCTCCAGCCACCGTTCAGCCTGAGCCTTTTTTCCCCAGGTAATGGGGCTGAGGGCGCTAATGTAACGTGGCACGGGTACATCGGCACCGCTGCGCTGGCTGCTGACCCAGCTGCTATGGCGAGCGGCCTGGCACTCGGCACCAGCTGCACGACCAGCCCAAGCCCACCTCCGGCGGTGGGGCCGTGGCCAGCTGCGAGCACGACTCATTGGAGCTGTTTTCTGACCGACAAGCACGAAGGCTGTCCCTCCGCTGGTCAGAGTGGCCTTCGCTGTGCCGCCGTGTGCAGCGACTGTGCTTCCCTTGGCGTTGCTCCGTCTCAGCCCGAGGTAGGCACTGCAGTGCCTCTTACCAGTGCACAAGTTTTTAGTGATTTTAAGCACCTTTGTGTATGTTGTGTGCAATTATTGCTCTGACTCCATTTCAGCACTGGCTAATTTGGCAATACTGGTAGCTCTGGAAGGGCAACCGGTGAACAAAAGAAGGTTGAGCAACCAGGCTTCCCTTATACTTGTTTGTCTCCACAAGCCACCTCCCACACCTTGTTTTCAGCAGCTGTCAGTCTGCAGGTAGTGGAAGTAAATTGCGTTGCGTAGACACTACTGGCGAGTTTATTTGGTGTCAGTTCTTCACTTTCTTCCCTTTAAGAATTCACTGATCATACTGGTTTTAGTTCAGAAATACCAGCACTCTAAAATCTAAAATAGCAGCATATAGTACTAACATGCCTGTCTTTTCTCTGATCTTTGAATCTCTTCAGGCATGACAGTGTGTGGGCATGTATATGAAGGTCTTCTGTTCTTATATTCTCCTGTTGCTTGTGTTAGTATCGCTTGAAAACAAAAACATTTGTGTCCTGAAAGGCAGAAGGCATATTGCAAGGCAAAGTCTCTTCCTCAATGTCTGTATGTCACATTTATTGTTCTGCCATATAAAAATTAAGTAGATGCTATAAAGGCTTTTAAATTAAGCTGTGAATTTCTTCATTGATTGGTACGCATGTATTTGTGGAACTTTTCTGTACCTATTCTACTATCGTTATATTAATACTAATTAACACGAATACTGCCACAAAGTAAAACCTTTCTAAGGTCAGAGAGCGTTCAAAGAGAGGAAGCGTTCAGGAGACTTGGGAATGTATTTGCTCTTTTTTAGATGAAGTGCTTTCTTACACCTGTAAACAAGCAAGGAGGCAGCAACATCGTTTATGTTAAACTGTACTTCGCTGCAAATACTTCCTTCTTTAAAAACCTGCTGTGTATGTTGATATCACAGCACCAGTTTCAGCTTGAAGAAAAAGGTTGGATAAGACTGTGAGAGAACACATAATATCTTCTCACAAGGAGAAATGTGTTTGAAAATATCATACAATCATTCATACAACCTGCTTCATTCTAAAAACCGAAACTCTTGTTGTGTAGCGGTGTTTTGTTTTGGTGAGTCTAAGGATAATGTTCTCCTTGCAACTGTTAGCAGCGTCCAGTCGGACACCGCTGTCAAAGGGGGAAGAAGCAACCCCATCCTTATCACTGGTGCAGGCTTTAAAGTGATGCAGAGCAAGCCAGCTATTGCCCATCACTGTTGTCAGGTCTGAAAATTATGTGCATTCCCTCCAAGTCTCAACGGTGGTATCTACTGAACTAGGTTTAACTTGATGTTATTTTTAGAACAGATTACGTTGATTGCATACTATTTTGAAGGCTTCAGGTAATAAAAGTACACAATTAAGTGTATCTGTCTGACTTGTTTCATTTCTCTGTCTGGTTTTAGGTATCAAAATGTGACTATTTGTTTTCCAGGTTCTGTTGGCAAAGATTTTGGTCCTACTCTGGGATTGAAGAAGTCCAGTTCTCTCGAGAGTCTTCAGACTGCTGTGGCTGAAGTTAGGAAGAACGAACTCCCTTTTCACAGACCCAGGCCTCACGTGGTCCGTGGTCGGGGTTGTAATGAGAGTTTCCGAGCTGCCATTGACAAGTCTTATGATGGACCTGAAGATGGAGAAGAGGGTATGTTGCTAATAGCACTTACTGAGGGAGCCACCTTCGCTTAGGACTGCTGACAGCTAACTCAGTGAAGCACATAAGCAAATGATTTAGTCCAGTTGAGGTTGATCACATTATAAAAACTGCTCATGTCTTCCACTGAATAGAGCTGTCTTTGCAGTACCCCATGCAACCTTGACTGGGTTTAGTGTAAAGTCTTTCACTGATCTCCTTCGGGGCAGGGGTGGGTTGGAGGATTTAGAACTCAATCCTTAAATAATTATATTTTTCAACTTCAAGAAGCAGCTGCCTTCTTCAGATTACACTAAAAATTATCTCGCTTGTTTTACAGAGCTGTCTACAATTCCCTCTTCTCCAACCAGGAAATTTGTTTCCTGTTGTAGACAAGGCAAGAGTGTATTGATAGCACCCTGCTGCTCATTCTGTCACCATGGGCTTACAGACCCCAGTCTAGAAATATGTCTCCTTTAGCATGAAGGATAAAATTGTGCTTGGATCCTGAGCCCCCCAAATAGAAACATACAGCTCTGCTCCAAACAGACAGAACAGTTTATCTATTTCTTCTTTAGTCATCAAAATAGAAAGATTTGAGGGAGTGAATGAAATCGTTTTGTTACGTAGGTTGGTTATGTCAGTTGCCAGAATCTCTTGTTGAAGTAATCTCTCAGTGTCTGCATCCCATCATGTCAGTTCTCTCGAGCTGATGGAGGTTAACAACCTGGATTTCACATAGAGTAGTGTTTTACTATGTCAGGATTTTTGTATCGGGAATAAAAATTGGAAGACGAGTTACTAAAATAACTCTGTATTTAATTTACAATAGAAGTCTGCTGGAATTCACTAGATATGTTTAGTCTGCTTTTTAAATTATTCAGTTAAATGAGTAAGTGGTGTGAGTCATTTGAGCACTTTGTGGACACTCATGCTGTATTTCACTTGTTTACATTTTGGTGGCCCCTAGCCATCCTTACCGCTTCTTTTTCATTGTGTGCAGATGGTTTCTCTGATAAGAGCTCTCACTCTGGTCAAGAAGCTCAGAACACGGAGTCTGCCCCTCCAAGGAACTTTGAAATAGAGGGTGCAGAAACCAAAGCAAAAAAAGACAAAAAAAATAGGGAGAAAGAGAAGAAAAAGGAAAAGGGCAAATCTAAAATCAAAGAGAAGAAAAGGAAAGAAGAAAATGAAGATCCAGAAAAGAAAAAGAAGAAAGGCTTTGGTGTCATGTTGAGGTATGGCATTTTAAAAAGCAAAATGGCCACCCGTTCTCATTATAACGTAGGAAACAACTGATACTCTTATAAAGTAGTAGAAAAATTATTTCACTTGGACTCAAAATAATGTTTATGTTATTTAAAAAGAAAGCAGTTTATACTTTTACACCAAACTTGTAGCTGAGGCAGAAGACATTTGGCAGACAAAATGTCTTTTAGTGCCTTTGAAATTCATTCCCATATGTCAGAAAAGATTCAAGGTTTCAGGCTAAAAACAAGCCTGTGTTGGTGGGGGAGGCTTTGTGGGGAATATTTCTGAGTAATATATGACCTGCTCCCACACTCAGACCTTTGCTTTCTCTTCGCTTGCTTATCTGCTTCCTTCACGAGGTTTGGGGAGAGCAGTATTGCTCCAGTTACTGTAAACAGTCTAGTAACATTTGCAGTTGGTGAAAACCACTAGCTGTGATAAAATCTTTGCTTCGCAGCTTCAGCCATTGCCTGCAGTGGTCAAAAGATCACCATCCTCCTTGCCTGGCATGCAAGTGTTTGGATTTCTTCTGTGTCTGTTGGTTGGTTTTGTATGTCTGGAATCATCAGAGACCAGACAAAGTTCTTCAGGATGTTGCCTTGCTATTGCTGGAGGCTTTGGTGCTGTAGGGGCTCTGGTTGCTATCACCCCTGCCTCTGGTACCTGTTTATTTTTGATAGATCTTTGCAATTAATATAGGGTGTGTGAATGAAATGTAATGATCGCCTGGAGATGATTAGACCACGTGGTTACTTGTGGCACTGAACACTTGGTGTTAGCTTTAGGTAGCCATTGGTGTTTCTATAGCATGCTGTATTGTAGACAAGCCAGGTACATACAAAAGCCACAGTCATTGATTAGGCAAAGATACATTTAGCTAGTAATCTGAGAAATTCAGCTGCTGAGATCATTCACTTAAAAATGAAATTCATTAGGACAGTGATAGGTGAACTTGCATTGCAGCTTTCTGTTGATATGTCCTTTGGAGTCAAATGGCTTGTGTTACACTGACATGGAAGGTTTTAACTGACTTTGTTCTATGTGTCGTCAATAGGAATCCTCAAAATTGTCCTATTGACTTTTGACCACCGTAGAGATACTGTCAAAAATATGCAGGCGTGCTTATGTGCCAGATTTGCATGGTTTCAGCAGTTGCTAGTGTTCGTGAGATGAAGGTGCGTGGGTATACCAGCCCGCATTCAAAGGGGGCTCTTTAGGAATGCTGAGGAGGTGCGTACTCACACCTGCGCATTGCAAGTGCATTTGTGTTCATTTAAAAAAGTAGGGCTTAACATGGAACAGTAGTCAAAACACTGAATAATTAAGAGGGTGACTTCAACAACTCTCTTGTGTGTCTTAAGCCTTATGTCTATTTTCACTCTTTAACTCTTTGGCATGAATAGGGCTGTTGGAAGAGGAGGGGAGTGACACAGAGGTCTGACAAAAGCATAAGTATTCTGTTTCATGTATCACTGGCAGATTCAAAGTTTGAAGTGCAAAGTCTTACTCAGGGGGATGTGATGCCTGAGCCAGAAAGAACATGGGATGACATCAGAATCCAAAACAAGCAATTGTAGTTGACAAAAATCTGACAGTGATCAACACGCAAAACTGGGAACAACAGGTTACTGTTCTTAATGATTCACTTCTTCAGAATATATTTCAAATTTTGGTTGTATACAAGCTTTATACATCTGTTCTTTTCATAAGTTTGCTCTTTATTTAGATTGATAGTCTTCCCAGCAGACAGTAATTGTTAATAATATTTATTTACCTGTATGGGAGCACAGAATGGGAATTTTTATCCCACACCACTGAAAATCTCTACAAAGTTGCAAAGACGGGAGCAACAGGTTATGATGAACAGAGAAGGAGTTGTTTGTGAGAGCCAACAGTTCAGCTGGAAGGTTTTTAAAGGTTCTGTGTCCTTGTCAGTGTTTCTCCCTAGAATTTACATAATTGTTCTTGAAAAGAAATTCCTTCCTGAGAAGGTGAGAGTCTTAGGGAATCCCAGCCGTGATACTAGTGAAAGAAGGGTGATGACCTGTAAGGACTGAACAAGAGCAAACAGTGTGAGTTTACAAAAAAATTGGGGGCCATATGTCCTGCTCAAGATTAGCAGAACCAGGTTGGTGTTTTTTCAGGGATAAACTGCTGTGGATGACATGAAAATCAAAAACAATCTGAATGTTTTTAAGAGAAATAGTAGGAAACTAATGGGGGAACTTAGAAGGGGTCAAATACTGACTAAACACTGGATTCAAGATGTATTTTTCAAACTGGAGTTTTGCACTGATGTGACAAGTGAGCAGTGAGTGTCAGAAGGGCTGGGGAGGAGGAGACTGCAGTAAGAAGGTTTGAGTGATCAAGCATTTTAGCAGCATGGATGGAAAGAAACAGCCAGATTTTTTTATGACATCGTGGAGATGAAACTGGCATGTTTTATTGGTAGAACATCTGTGGAAGGAAAGAGAGAAGCTGAAGATGACAAAGTTGTGAGCTTCTGCAACAGGCAAGGTGACTACTATTTCTTGGTAGCTTAAGAGAACGAAGTAGAGAGAAGTATTTAGATATAGAAATGAGATCAGTTTTTGACATGCTGAGTTTAAATTGGGAGGGGAACCTGGTATAGCAGGGATTAGAAATGTAAACATCAGAAGGGAGCAGAAACGTGAATGGAGAAGGATATCTGTAGTATGCCTTTTGTAGATATGATGGTAGTTGTGCTGCAGTCCCGCATGTGAGAGACCGTGTGAGGAACAAGGACTAGAAGCCCTGCTAGACTGACAGGAGAGAAAGACCTGAGAGAAAAGTTCAGAAAGCAACTGGCAGGAGTGGGAAGAGGGTATATCTGCCTGGGACCAGGCAATGACATGAATTAACTAAACTAGTCCTATGACTGCAGCCATGTAACTAATTGATCCTACCGAGAGCTGGAACCCCACATGGATCGTTCATACTGTTTGCAATTTGTGGAGCAGTTTGTTCAGAGCTATTTCAGCTATGCCTGCATAGTTCTGCTGTGCTGTGTGCATGCATCCAAACAGGGACTGGGTTGAGATAAGCAGGAGATGATCATCTGTGGTGAAAGCTCTAGGACCAGAAGGACAATGAAAATATTTCTGAGATCTTGCCAGAAAGCTCAGTGCTAATGAAGACACATGTACTTTCTGGCGAAGGACTAGGGCTCAAATATAAAGGACAAAGGAAAGTAGAATTTGAGGCTGAAGCAGCTACTGGAAGTGTCACACGGTGTCTGCGATGGGGTTTTTGTGCTATGCTTACTGGGTCACATATGCAGCTGTAACAAGTTTTATCTTGGCCATGTGATTGACTTGTTTCTGCCTTATAATCAATAAAGTGTTTCAAGGTATTAAAACCAAACCCAAGTACTTATCTGTAGTACAAGAAGCGTTGAGCTTTAGTGTTTTGCATCTGAGATTTTTGAACATATTGGAATTGCTACTGCATTGGTTTTTTACTTTTTTTTTTTTATTCAACAACAGAAAATAGCAAAGCTGTTAGCAGTTGCTAACAGATTTCACTTAGTGCCTCATCTGTTGCTCAGCTGCTATTTACTTGTAGTTCCTGGTCTTTTTTTACACATACAAAAAAAAGAATGATTGCTTTCCTGCTAAGCTTTTCCTGGATTGAAGCTTTATTTAGGTGACTGTGATTCAGGGAGACCATCAAGAAAACATGCTTTTATTTTTGTAATCATTGTTTTTTAAAAAGTCCTGTTGTTTTACCCAGTATTAACTGGAACTCTTGGCTGCAGCATTTTGATGACTCTGTCACTTGGAGCAAAGTGGGTTAATGTGCTGGAGACTGGAAATGCAGATGACACTGGTTATTACTGATTAGTTACATCTCTATAATCCAAAGGACTATTTTACTGTCGTGCAGACTGCACAGTGTTTCTTGTTTGGTTGGTTCTGATGTGTGTATTGCCTGCCTGAGTACTGGATGTGCATATGTGCTGTCCAAAGAACAACAGAAGTTGACTCTGTCAACTGTACGTAACATCAGTGAAGTGAGCATTGTATTTTATTCTGGCAGATTGCACCATCATAGCTCACTAAATAACCCACCGCTAGACACAGACGGCAAAGTAAATTGGTATTGTATGTCAGGAAAAACAACTATGTTAAATACTTTCATTATTGGAACTGTCACTAAATGTATACTGCAGTTTCAGGAAAAAGGCAGTGTCTAGCATCTATGCCAAAATTCTTTCGGGACAGAAATAATACTCAGTTCTATGCAGATACATAACGGCAGCAGTATTACACAAGACATTCAATGCTTGGCTCATCCCTTTTCTTGCATTGAGCTGACTGATTCTTTCAGGGCACAGTGAGTCTTGAGACTGCTAGACCTCAAATGAGCTTCCCTGTACTTCTTTTTGAAGGTGTTTTGTATTTTCATGAGCAACACTACAGCGAAACAGCGTATTTATGCCTCTGAAGAAAGGCAGCATGTACTGTCATTGGTTTAGAGCCACCTTGTGAGGTGGCTCTACAGGCTGTTTGGAAGAGTTAATTAACCCCTTGGTGCAGGGTGTTAGAAATCCCTGATGCTGAGCACTAATGCGAAACGCATTATCACAGCGCTGGGAATGCAAAGCTGATCTAACCAAGAGGTTAAATTAAAAACAAAACAAAACAAACTGTTCCTCAGTTTAAAATCCTCAGATTTTAAATTTGTGATCTGTAGTTAATTGCCGTGCTTTGAAATACTATCAAAATATCATTTTCTAACAAAAGTAGGTTTTGAATTGGTTTGTATATTAAATTGGAGAAAGACTGAACCTTTAAATCACCAGGGAAGTCTGACCTCTGCTGTGCGGTGCTGCTCGCTAGCCTAATACCATGGCAGTTGTTACAGTCCTGGTAATACGTATAATAAACGTAAGTCTGCGGCTCTCACTGCCTTTTCCAGATAGTGATTGTAAAAATTCTGGGCAGCCCTTTCGGCTCTGTGGGTA